TGGGGGAAAAAAAAATGAAACGGTTTTTAAGGGATTTCGGCAAAAAAAAATTTTTTTTTATTAACTTTGCTCCCGCCACCCCGGGGGGGGGGGGGGGGGGCGGAAGCCACAAAAAAAATAATCACGGCGCAATTCTGAGTTATTCGTATGGCAGTCATCCATGGAACGAACGCTCGGCCATACTGGCACGCATAAGCACACGACACATGTATGCATATGTAGGAAACGCACCTTGTAGACTACTCCGTACGTGCCCTCCCCAATCTTTTCCAGCTTCTGGTAACGCTGCATGTTCGCTCTGCCGTCCTCCGCCCTCAGTAACGAGCCTCGCTCTTTTTGGTTCGACAGAGGCAGCGAGCAGCCCAGGTGCTACTTGAATCTTCTCTTCTATTGCTGGCTGCGGAGACAGAGACAGAGAGAGAGAGAGAGAGAGAGAGAGAGAGGGAGAGAGAGGGAGAGAGAGAGAGAGAGAGAGAGGAAGTGAAACGAGTGAGTGGATGAGTGAGTGGCACGCGCCGGTTGCCGCTGTGGTGACCGTGCACGGTTTTAGATACACCGCACCTAAAAGAGAGCGGGTGCGTTCGTGCGGTTGAAGCTCTATTTTCCACCATTGTTGTCTCCAAGAAATCGAAACGCCCCGCTGTTCTCCCCGTGGTAAAATGTCTTGTATGTGACTGCGGTTGGATGGTTGGTGGTGTCGTCAAAAACAACACGTTCCAAAGCAAGGGGCGTGGCCCTCGCGCGCTCAAGCACAACTCCGAGAGAGAGACGCAACACGCCTGCAGCAGCAGCAGCAGCAGCAGCAGCAGCAGCAGTTGCTGCACAACGCTTTCGCCAAGAGAGAAAGCAACGAGTCGAAAAACAACGTTGACTTTTAATTAATGGTCATCGGTTCATCCGATGGATGCCACAAAACAAAAAACACAAGGCAGATCAGATGATGCGGGTTTTCCTCGTGATCGACCACAGACCACACTCGTGCTGGCTGTGGTGGGTCCGTGGGTCCGACGGCACCTCGCCCTGTTGCAAACCCCACGCACCAACGGGGTAACAGTCCGCGACGGTAACCGCTACCAAACACGCACACCCGTGCGTCTTGTAAACCTGACGCTGGAACCAACAGCTGCCAGCCTGCTGCTTGCTGCTGATCCCCGCTCTCTCGTCTGTCCGTGCTGAAAAAAAAATGATTTCGTGGTCTCAAGCCTCTCTGTTCAGCACGATTCAACTGCAGCGCAGACGTTGCGTTCCCGTGCCTCACCTTCCCCCCCACGTTCAACAGCACGACTGGAGATGCAGCTAGCAGGAGAAACGGCGTTACTTCTCCCTCGCTGCACGGCGGTGGTATCGGTTGTCGTCATGATATTCAAGTGATATTTGCTGCGGGGCATCGCAGATGGCAGGGACGGAAAGAGGGGTATGTACGTGTCAAGTCCATGACGACCCTGGGACGGGGGAGCCGCCGCACGCCGCACCGCACCGCCCGCCAGCCGCGCAAGCATAGCAGCAGCAGCACAGGCGCAGCGGAGAGAGGCGTAGCGAATTCGAGACAACGGGGCAAGGCTGCCATGGTTTTTTACCAGCAGGTGCGTGCAGAAGGCCTTTCAAAACAACGACCACGTGCTTTGCCATTTTCAGGAAATAGGAGGCGCACTCCACTCCGGCACTCCGGCCTCCGGCCCCTCTTCTCTGTCTTATCTACCGACAAACGTTGTTTAGATGCATATCCCGGTACCTTCCCGAAGTATGTGTTGTTGTGTAGTCTTAGTGTCTTCCCACCCCGCTGCCCTATTGCCTGGTACCACCACCAGTGCATGGTGGTCGTCGCGCTGAGGCATTGCCAACACGGGTGAACATGTCGATCATGTGTTGTCTATTGCTCGTACACGAGTGAGGTGCCGATGTGCTGGCGGTGTGAGTGGATTTCGCCCCTCCCTTCCGGACTAATTGTAGTGCCGCTGCTGTACATGTGTGTAGTGCTGTGTGCACGCATAGACGGATTGCCATCTGGGTAGGTACTGCTGTCGTATCCTAGGTTAATTAAGACAAAGAGCAGCCATGCTGTTTTTTATGGCAGCTCGATTTGAACGAGAATCGGCTGTATTGCTCGGTTTGCACATCGTGAAGTTGACATCGTGTCTACAGCAGTAAGAGAAAACCCAAAACTTTCGGAGATGTTGACTAAACAAGCCTCCATCGTGGTACATGGATATTCCCAACTGGTTATCGACCACACAACTAAGCCCACCAACGTAGCGGTGATGCCGCACTTGCTGTACTTGCAGAAATGACTGGACTCATCCTTAGTCCTTGGAAATGGGTACCCCTACCATATCCACGGCAGTGCTTCGAGATCCCATATGGTACATAGATAATTTCCACCCAGGGGAGAAACCCGAAGGACCCTTCGACCGCCTCCTGCACACACCGTCGATTTGGAGATACCGCACCTGCTGATACTTTCGAAGACACCGGCCATCCGCTGCTGCTATTCTAGATACGTGTGCGTGATGGGACTGGAAGACACTAACAACGACCTGACTGAGCTGGGAAATGTAGAAGGAAGGTGCAGGGAGATGTTTGAGGCATGGAATAACCTGGAAGGCGGCATTAATAGCTGTATTGGGGCATAGAAAGTGGGTGAAAAGGTGGCAAGTGATATCGATAGGATAGACAGGGCAGGGAAAACATTGTTTCACCTTGGCAAAGCAGGAAGAAGCGATTGGCCATCGGCGATCAGTCCTGTCGGACCAATGCTCCGTCCTGTCGAGGACGCTTGGTCAATGGTCTAACCGCTGAGGCATGCGAAACGTAAGCTCCTCCCCCCTTAATGGTAACGATAGCGTTCGCGGGGTTTTTCGTACTATGTGAACATGTTGAATAAAGAATACAATCGGGGAAGTTGGGTGAGGGTTAGAGTTAGGGAATACGGTCTGCGTACCCCCTCCCTGTTCTTTTTCCTCATAAACTTATTTGCTCGCGCGGAAGGCGGTCGAAACATGAGCACCCCCCCCCCACCCCCCGCTTCCCCCCATCCCTTCCGCCGCGACGAAGATCGTCACTCTCCGGCCGCGGACGAACCCCACCGACCTCACCAACATCTTCCGCCGGGCGGCCGCGGTAATCCTGGAGGAGGGCGGGGTCGTGAGGTCTGTGGCCAACCACGGCGTGAGGGTGCTGCCCTACCGGTTCCACAGCAAGCACGACATCAAGGAGAAGGACGACAGGTGGTTCTCGTCCGGACGGTGGGCCAGCGCGTACTACGATGCCAGCCCGGCGGTCGCGAAGAAGATGGAGGTGGGTCGGTGCCGCGCAGCCCCGATTCGCCCTTGGGGACGGCTGTGTGTGTGTATGGCGGGAACGCGCGTTGTGGTACGCTTTTTCTTTGTTTTTTTGGTCTTTCGGCAGACAAGGTTATATAAAAACTTGAGCTCGTAACACTTGTCTTTCATGAAAAGGTTTTGCTGCGACTTGTGTTGTTATTCGTGGCGTACTTTCCGTTCGCGAAATTGTCGTCACAGAGCAGATGGCAAACAAGAGTGTCGAAGCGTGCGTGCATCGAAATCCGCGCACGCCCCCGCGGCTCTGCCTGCTCCTGCCCTACGTACTCCCTCCCGGCTAACCCCCCTAAGCTGCATTCCGCAATTCTCCGCTCATGTCTCACTCCTGTGTCGTGTTGTTGACGTCGCTCTCGATGCATTCGGTTTCGGTTTCGTTTTCTTCAGGAACAACTGTGGGCGGAGGACAAAGTAATTCGAGTCTCAACCCGGCGACCGGCGACCAAGATGGACCGAATAGCGTCCACTCACGAGCGGTCAAACCCTTGGGACATGGAGTGGAGGAATCGCAACGGGATCGAGCAGCCAGTGCACAACCGTCGCCGGACCCCGCCCAAGAAAAAGTGGTAGCAGTCTAGGTTTTAGTTTGGCAGCGTTAACGGCATGGTAATAGCTCGGAATAGGGGGCGCGTGTGCACGTGTGCACCTTGGGCGAGAAACTTGAGCGGAAAAGCCAGGCGCAGAGTTATTTTTCCTTCTTGTGCCTGCACGGCGCAACGTTGGAGTCTCTCTTTTTTTGTCTGGAAACAAAGCGTTCTATCATGTCGTTCATCAGTGTGTCTGTACCAAAAACTGACATTTCCGCGTGAAATGGAGAGGCTGCTGCCGGTTGAGTTGCATCCAACACGAGGCACACATGCTTGAAAAGCCGAATTGTTTTTTCACAATGCCGTCACTCGATTTCCCTCGGCTACACTTGAGCTTGAGCGCCCGCTCTTTCCTCCTGCCTCGTCCCCCGTCCCCTTCCATCGGACGCTGCGGCCAACCACGCTCACTCCGAAGCAACGCGCCTGCTGTCTGCTGTGACGGAGGCGTACATATGGATGGCCTTGGCGCGCTTGGGAAAGCAAACCGCGTTTTTGAAAGAAACAAGCTACTCCTTGTAAACCACATTTTATGTAGGGGACGAGTTATAAGTACGCCTTGTGGTGGAACTGCCTGCATTGTACGAGAAGCGGGGTTGCAGCTCGCTTCCCGGAAAGAAAGAAGAGACCGAAACACACTGCTGGAACGGCGACTTTGGTTGTGTCTGTGGGGTGCAACACTCACCAGCATTCATTGTGCTGCCTTGTGTACGGCCCGACGCAACCAACTCCCTCGCAACTTCCATTTTTGTTGTCACGTCTTCCAGCGCACGCACACGATGATACTGTATCAGGGGGAGGGGCCCTCTCCAACGTGGCTGCAGCAACCAAAAAGGCGACTCGCCGCCCCTACCGCAACGCTTGGACCAATTTAGGTAGAAGCAGAGGGGGGGGGGGGGGGGGGTCGGGGGCACCGCGACGACGGCATGGGTGTAGGTGTCGTGAGGCGAGAGCACGTCAAAAACAACTCCGTTCGTATTCTAGGAAGAACTCAACCTTTGCCATTTTGTCATTTTGAACGTTCCTACATACCTGCATCAGGAACCGAAAAGGCTTCAGTACACTCCTTTCTTCCATATTATTTTTACAACAGCCAACAAGACGAAGCATTGGGGTAAGGGTTTCACAGAACCCGTCCCTTTAGGCTTTCCTGCTCTAGATTCCGTGTGGGTTTAGGCCAATCCCACTGCCTTTTAGAGCTCTCCGCACTCCTGGATGACGACGGTGAGTCGGGGCTTGTTGTTCACCCCCGTGGAGACGTTCTCGATTTTCCTCACCGTCAGCATAGACGCTGGATCCAACACCTGCGGGCGCGCGACAAGCAAGAAGCACGTTGTTGTCGCTTTCCGTTTTTTCGACAGGGAGCCAGCCTTCTCTGCAAGTGGGACTCAACTCGACACTCGACGTTTTTCTCGCAGTTACTGCGGTTTGGCAAGTGGTGAATCGACTCAGAACTCGACGTTTTTCTCGCAGTCTGTACGCGGTTTGATACCGCTATAGCGCAAAGCCAAGTGAAAAGTAGGCGCCACGGAAGGAAACAAAGGGTCCGCGAGAGAACAACTCACAGCAGTGAAGAGCAAATAGTTTCTATCGTTCATGCTGGGACAGGAAAAAAATGTTGAGCGACCGCTGGGGGAAACATTTGGCAACTCGATCGCGTTGCACCCGATCACAATCGCCGGTGGCCGACTGTCAGTTGGACCTCTGGCCAGTACGCACGAGTAGATGTGGAGGCGGGGTGTCCGGGACACTCTATAAAGGTTGGTGGGTGCGGTGCGCAACGACTCTCTTTACACCCAGTCTATTCGTTTCTGCACCACTAGGACTACGGCTATCGGCACACTTTCGGGCGTACTACTGTAGCCGGGGTCCGAAATCGTCTCCATGGTATCTACGTGCCTATGGCTGTCGAGAAAGGAGTAGCAGTCTAATCAATTGTGCGCGTTTTCTCAACAGCATTACTCGAGGGTTTTTCTTCACATCACAGCCAGGACCAGCCAAACGAGGATCAGAGGGATACTATAGTATGCCATGTCGTTGACCCGCGGACGCGGAGCGTACTCGCGCACCCAAAACAAACTACGAGCCACCCACGGAGTCCCTACCGCAAAAGTATCACACCACCCACAACATCGAGTGCATACGCTACATACTCCGTCCATGACGAGTTGCTGGAACCAACTGGGTTTACCGCGTAGCGGTGCAAGTAAGGACGACGATGACAGGGCACCCCAAGCCGCGGGAAACATACCTGACCTATCCTGTCCCCGCCTCTACCAAGGGCAGGGCCGCCGTGTTCTCTCTCACCTTTCCGAATACCACGTGGAGGCCGTCGAGCCAGGCTGCCTTCGCCGTCGTCACAAAGAACTGACAGCCGTTCGTGTTTGGCCCGCTATTTGCCATGGACAACAGTCCAGGACCTGTTTGTTGGGGGAGGGACAGGCGCACCGCCGCGACGCAGGAAGTGAGATAAAGTACGACACCAACACACCGGGGGTAGTCTACACACAATGAATAAACGAGGCGCGACATGTCTTCGCGAATCCCAAAAAGCTGGTGTTTACTCACTCCACAGCACCATGAAGGAGGGCGAGCGGGGCTACCGCCGCGTAAAAGTGCGTACCTCCAGTAAGTGGCAAAAGTTTCCTTGTTGCGCAGTAGCAGTCTACCACTACCCAGGCGCATCCTCCCTGTGCGAAACCGACGGCCGTGTGCCGAAGCAACGCCCCCATTCGCAAACCAAAGCTCGCTCCCGCGGCGCAGCCGAGGACCGTGTGCCGAAACAACGCCTCTTTCGGAACCAACGCTCTACTTAATGCGTGCAGTTGTCTTCTGTTTTTTTTTCTTGCCTGTGTGGCGGAGGTCGAAGTTCTCGTCCGCGAATTTCTCGCCGTAGATGCTCATCCTGCCCGTGCCGTCCCCCTTCACGAAGTCTCCCCCCTGAAGCATGAAGTCCTTGATCACGCGGTGGAAAGGCGCCCCCTTGTACCCCGTGGGAATGCCCTGCCTCGTCGCGATGGAAACAACGAGGCGAAAAAACGCCGACGCGAACGAACGACGTCAACAGATAGATGAGAGACGGCGACTGTTGTTGCGTACGTAGACTATTAATAAACGTTTGCATGTTGCTGCTGCTGCAGATGTATGTCGGGGTGTTTTGAATAACAGCAGAGCGGCAGAGCAGCAGTTGGAGGAGTTGTTGATGTGCGAGAACAGCAAAAAGAAAGCCAGGAGGCAGAGGGATCGTTCAAGTGGTATGGGCGGCTTGGGGGTAGGATGGTGTGGTCGCTGGCCCCAAGTTCACGTCGATTCCTATGAGTTGTAAAGCCAGAAATGGGTGGGTAAGCCCGAGCGTTTATAGAGGGCGGAGACACACAATAGCCGTTCGAACCTGGCTTGGTGCAATTGGGGGAACCAAAACTCTTGGGGGAACTTGACATAAATGTTGATCTTTCTGTAACAACAAGCAACGTCGCACCAAAGACATACCAAGGAGTACGCAAACAGGTCATGAAGAAGGGGGGACCAAAACGCACCTGATGCCGGTGTTCCCCGGTGCAGAACCGCCTGAAGTTCTCCGCGGTTTTGGGACAGGTGTCCTTGAACAGCTCCATCTTGATGCGTCCCGCGGGCGCCCCGCCGATGGTCACGTCGAAAAATACCACAGGGTTTCCTCGTGCCACCGCCTGGATCGCGGGCAGACGTGTAGGTATCGAGAGAGGGCCAAGCGAAGAGGGAAAGGGGGTGGCTCAGGACGTTGGCTGGGTAAGCAGCAAAGGAAAACATGGTGTAGCGGTTGGGACCGTGGATTCGGAATTATAATAGTGGGATCCATCCTACCGCATGCTGTCCTATCTCTCCCCGAAAGGAAGAATTTTGGCGTGTTGTAAGCAAGAAAACCTAAAAAAGAAACAAGAAGGCGCTCTTTGGCTTTTGTGCTGGTGTCGCTTTTGATGGTGGTAGTGCTCCGCGGCCTTGCGTGTTGTCTTGAAGTCCACTACCACCGCCGTCGTTTGCTTTTCTGCATCCGGTACGCGCGGGCCGTCCTCTCTCGCCCCTCATTGCAAAGAGGCGGAGTAGGTATGCCCAAGAAGTAAATTGTTGTTGTTGTTTGTTGTTGTTGTTGTCTTTACATTATTAAATTCGTTTCAGTTGTTAATCCCAAAATCTAGCAAAGACGCGGTCGTGGTCACAAAAAATGCTCAAGCCATCAGAAGATCTAAAGAACACGCAAACTAGCAAGAAAAGGGTACACAATGGTCGAACGAAACGAAGCAGAATGCTTCCAACAGCATACAGGAACATCCTCAGTCCATCAAACTGCAGCTGAACTGAGCAACCTGGCGTTGTCGAAAACGCCGGGCATCGAACAACCTCGCCAGGCCTGTCATCTGTCAGTGCCGCTACATTCTACCTGCAGTCGCTGCTGCAGCGTATTGCGAATCGGGCCAGGACGATAAATATGTAATGAGCTGATAATTTACAGAGATCACGACCACCACCGACTGTGTGATCGGAATCGGATGCCTGGCATTGCCAAACATCTTGACATACGCACAACATCCAGATTTTTATGGAGAGAGAGCATCGACAGCAACGGCGTCGACCGCGCCCTCCGACCGCGCAGGCCTGTACGTATTGGTTGCATCTCATGTCCTTTGAAATATTTCGAACGGAAAAGAGCAGCAGACAAACCAGGGCTGCCGCAATGTTTGGTGCCAAGCTTCTCTCGGTCGGTCGGGTACTTGCAAGGAGCTGGTGATAAAACGGTACGTACGTCCTGACCACCAAGGTGTACTCCCCGACAATGTCTTCACGCGAAGTAACACAGGAAGGTTAGCCCCAGGTAGGGCCGGAGACACATGTCACGGGTCTTGTTGTACACGCCTCACATTCCGCGTGGAGACAAAACCAAAAGTAAACGGTTGTTTTCGCTGATAAATGTGTACAACGTGACAACGCCAGTGCACGCGCTCACCTCAGCAATAGCCGGATCGGGAGACGCCATTCTGTCGACGGCCGCAGCAGGCCAAACGAGACGTGTGTGTGCCTGTAGACCGTAGCAACAAGATCGGACTTTTCGCGATTGATCGTCGATAACCTGGTATTGTGTACCTGTTTTTACACTCACCGCCAAGTGAATCGGGGTTTGAATAGGTAGCAGATGGACAACAGTGCTAAAGACAAGATCGACGCCTTGCCTTCGCTCTCTGACTGCTCCTTACAGACTGCTTACGCTGCTCTTGCCTGGCACGTGCAGCGGCGTGCGGCGTGTCTCTAGGGGCTTCGCAGCACGTATTCTTGGGTATGGGGGTGTTTCAAATAAAACGAAAGTGCGTCTCCCCCACCCCCCCAGCTGGCCTCACGGCAAGGCAGAAGCAACGCAAGGGCGTGGATTGGACGCGCGGCGAAGGATTTGAGTGTCAAACCAAGGCAGTGGAAGGCTTGGTCGAGGTGGGTGGAGAAGATTCTATTCGCTTGTGCCGTATCGCGAAAAACGCATGGGAAAAAGGCAGGACAGGGTCAGGGATCCTCAAAACCACTGACAGCAGTGTCAGCATCTGCAGCACAGCAGCAGCAGCAGCCAGGCGTTGACCACCGTACTTGTTGGCGCGGATCGAACGAGGGGCCGACACGCCTGGAGAACATAGTGCTTGCCAGCTGTTGTTGTTGTTTCATTACTGGGTGTGCCGCTCTTTGCCTCTTGGTGACTTTGCTTTCGGCCGCTCACAACCTTGATCTTCGCTACTGCTGCTGTCTCTGGCGAAGTGTTGCGTGTAGTGCGCCTGCTGCGAGCGTACAGAGTAAGGGGATGTGCAAACAGCGCTGCGCTGAGGAGAGAAGGGCATGTGTCCACGCGTAGTTGTGTGCTGTTCATTTGTGCACCATGCTATTCTTACTGCGGGGTTCTTGTTGCGAAAACGTTTGCATTTATTTTTTTGTGGATTGTCTGTGTTACAGAGTTGCATCTGACCTACAGCAACCCTGGTACAGCTATCTGTAAAGTCTACATGGGCAGCAGCAGCAGCGGATTCCCAGCAAAAGCACTGCTGGTATCTAGGTCGAACCGTAAAGATCAGATGTCGATACGAACAGCAGCACACGCACACGGCATCGTCAAGTGTGTTCGTGCAGTTGCGCTCTGAAGGCGTTGCGCTCTCTATCACAGCAATGATTCTTGTGAATCTCTCGCCCATCCCGCGTAACCCCCCCCCCTCCCTATACAATGCCCCCCTGTTTTCTCACGTTGCAGAAGCGCGTGAAGCAGCAATGAATCAACCGCCACCCGGCGGCGGGCCTCCCGGTAAGCAAGAGAGCGTTGACTGTTTACTCGCGACGCGCGGCGGCAACTAGTTGTTGTCGTATTAGCACCTATTTACCAATTTTCTTCACGCCGTCACTCACGCAGTTCAAAATTGAAAATTGATCGAACGGTATTTATCCTTTTGTAGTGCAGGGAACATTTTTTCTGTCTCAGATACATGGTGCAGCGGAAGGTACCCGCCACCCCTTTACTGATTGTCTTTTGCGAAGATTTCTTTGCTCTTAAGCCGCGCTGAATTTCAGTAGATGCTGTGAGCATCTGCACGGATACGCTTTATTTGGTCCACATGCAGCTGTGCTCCTTGCACCATGGGGCGTGCACGTAGTTCACGACCATACATGAGACGCTGGAATGGTTTGTTGCGCATGGGGGAGATTTACGATGGCCCACCCCTTGCCTGTGGCTTTGGTCCCGAGGTAGATATGTCGGGGATGGGTGTATTTTGAGCCATACTTGAACCGTTCTTGAGCTTGGTGTTTTGGGCGCGGCGCGGGTAGACGGCGGCGCGTTTTGCTTGGGCCTTGGCCAGGTTTTCGCGGGCAGCCACTCGTCCATATGCAATACCTGTGTGCCCACCACTACTGTGATGCTGGTTGCTTTGTTGTATTGTGAAAAGTGATGGGAATCCTTTTAGCGTTGTTGGTCCCCTGCACCCGTTATCCCCTCCCGCCCCCCTTTGATCCACATGCCCGTTCTCCTGTATACTGGCACGTTGCCTCTGCTGCCGCTGCTGCCGCTGCTGCTGCTGCTGCTGCACCCACTGCTGCTGTACCTACTGCTGTTGACGCTGCTGCTGCAGGCATGGGCGGGCCTCGTCCGCCTGGAATGGGCGGGCCTGCCCCTCCGGGGATGGGCGGTCCCCGTCCCCCGGGGATGGGCGGGCCGCCGCCGCCCGGCATGGGGGGCCCCGGCGGACCGATGATGGGCGGAGGGGGGGGGCAGGGACCGGGGCAGTTCCGCGGCGGGCCGCCGCCCGGGATGCAAGGGGGAAGAGGTCCTGGAATGGGTAAGTTGGGATAATGGGGAATGGCAGGTTTTATGGAGTGGGATAGTGCGGCATTTGTGTGTGTGTTTTTCCCTCACGGCTGATGTCCGTTTTTCCCGACGAAGCCGTGCCAAAAGTTTTCTCCTGAATGATAATGGGGGGACGGAGGGGGATGGAGCTGGTGCTGTCTCTTGGAATACGAAGGGCCTCGTTTGGTCGCTTGCTTGTTTTCGTGAAAACGGGAATGGTGCGCAAGCGTACGGGAGAGACACCATCACCGCGTACCGTGGTTATTTTCCGGGGTGGGAATTTTGTTCCACGCGGTCCCACACTTTCTTCGGTGCTGTCCTCTCGTGAGCACAGCAGCAGCAGGTAGTATTTGTAGACGGCCTTGTGTGCCGTTTGTACCACCTTCCGCAACCGTGCATGCAAGAAGCAGAAACAACCAGCAGGACGAAGCAGTTCAATTCGATTGTGCGGCACGCGACATTTCGCGCGGAGACAGCAGTTAAGCCTGCATGGCGCGCGGGAGGGGGAAGGTGTTCGTGAGAAAAAAAGAAATAACGACCCTCTGTTTTCGAATGAATGGGTCTTCACCCCCAGTGCGAAGCCTCGCACGGCGGTCACGGCATTGCTTCCGAGTAGCCCTCAACGCGCTGCCTTAATGTGTGTTTTTTTCCATTCTACAAACCTCACGTGGTCCTTTGTCCTCTCTCTTTTTTGGTCTGTCGTTTGTTGCTAAATAGGCATGAGAGGTCCACCTGGCATGCCGCCGATGGGTATGGGGGGGATGGGCATGCACCACCCCCAGGGAGGCCCCGGCGGGCCCGGAATGGGAGGAATGGGTCAGCCTGGCATGGGCGGCGGCTCCTTGTCGATGGGCATGGGAGGTGCGTGAATGCCGCGTGCGAAGATTCAACAACTGGTGGCGTTTTTGCTCGTATAGGCCGTGTTTTCTTGTCGATGGGCATGGGGAGGTGCGTGAATGCTGCGTGCGAAGACTCAAGAACTAGTGGTGTTTTTTTTTCTCGTGTAGGTTCATTGTCGATGGGCATGAGAGGTGGGGGAACGCTGATTGTGAAAACTCAACAGCTGCAGTAAACGCGGTGTTTTTGCTCTCGGGTAGGCGGCGGTTCGTTATCGATGGGCATGGGAGGTGAACGCTGCGAGTGAAATCTCAACGATTAGCGATGTTTCTGCCCGTGTCGGCGGCGGTTTCTTGTCGATGGGCGTGGGAGGTGGCCACAGAAAAACTTAACAACTACGGCAATAGCTGTGCTTTTGCTCGTGAAAGAGGTTCATGGAACACGGGTACAACGGGAGGCGAGCTCCGACCTTGCAAGCGTACATGCCGCACTGCTGGGTTTGCAATTTTTGTTGGCCAAAGGGTGTCATGCGGTTTATTGTTGGTGGGGATTTTGGAATTAAAAGGGGAATGTTCGAGTTGTA